TATAATAACAATAACTAGGACATATCGCGACGTTAGAATTATCTTGTTGAATTATGTCAACTTTTTAAAAAACTGAATTATTAATATTGTATTATGTACCTAAGAATAATGTATTCTACTATATTGAAACCTAAGTTATATGTAAAAAAAAGTTGCATAAAAAAAAGTTTTTATGTGCCGTCTCTTAAAGTGTTTCTTTTTTAAATCGTTTTGTCTCAAAACTCGAAAATGTGGAGATATAACAAAATAATTCTAACGTCGCAATATATTCACCGGAATCAACTTCTTATAATCTAGCAGGAAAAGTTAAATCATCGGATTACTTCGATGATTTAACTTCAAAACTTTTTAAAATCTTAATTAGAAGTTGATTCCGGTGAATATATTGCGACGTTAGAATTATTTTGTTATATCTCCTCATTTTCGAGTTTTGAGACAAAACGATTTAAAAAAGAAACACTTTAAGAGACGGCACATAAAAATTATTTTATAACTTATATTTTCAGCGCAACTTCTTTTTACATATAACTCTAATCACCATAAACACTTAAAAAAAGTTTAATCTTTACAGTCTTTTGCGGCAGGACTTCACGGTTTTCTTGGAGTTTTCGTATTTTTTATTCTTATTTTTTATTGATATATTTATTTATATATTTTTCCTCTTTTATATATTCTATAAAGATAAATAATAAATGTGAAATAAAGAACAAAAAAAATGCTTTCGAGGGTTTTCTTAGCAGATTAGCATAAAAGCATTATTTAAACAACATTAACAGTCAAGGCGGGTACACCGAGTATCCCCAGCATAGAAATGCCGTTTATCCGTTTAAGGATAAACAATTTTATTTTTTCGAAAATTTAATTTTTGAAAACGATTTTACGTTTTTGACGTTTTGTAATAAAATTTAATCTATAATTATTATGTTTATTATTACTGAATTGAATACTAAATTTAGTTCAACTTGTGTTGTTGATTTGGTAATTACTCAATTATGTTAAGAAAAATTTCAGTCAAGATCTATCTTCACGCCTTGCCATTCGTGGTAAAGGTGAAGATTGTTCAAACTTTTGCATGCTTCATAAATTACAAGCCTTCTTACTTACTTCTTAATTACATTTAGAACCTTACTTGTCTAGAGTAAGAACCTATCTTTCGATGGATTGTCTAACATATCTAACAAGAGAGGGTAGTTTACGTACAGTGCAGTGCTCATAATTACAATTTCGTTGCTTAAATTCAGTTAAATCTAGTGCACTTAAGTAGTCAGAGATGCCATGGAAACGTAGGCTTCATTAAAATTCAATGAAGGTAGAGTTCCTCACTGTGCTATAACTTTAGAGGACCACAGCCGTGGGTGGTTTAAAATGCGTCTGTGAATTGTGTTATAACTGGATTTGAAATCCAATTCAGACTACTGATCGTCAAGCAAATGTCAAACTATTTTTCATTGGCCAGATACAGCATCCGTTAAGACTTTCTGCAAAAACTAAAACTTTGAGGATTATAGAAGGCTAAAACTGTATTGCAATATATTTGTGGATCATGTCGAATTAAAGAAAATGCAACTAAATTTCTCTCAAAACAAGATTTTTGAATCAGTTTTGAACGTGCTTGTAGACGTTAATCTGTTCTATTGATTCCCGAGTTTGTGAAGCTTGTGAAATTTTTATTATTTAAGTCAATCAAATCCTGTGCGAGTGAGCGATTTTTTTTATCTTCGTAAAAAAAAAAGATTGATTAATAATGTGCAATACGATGTCTCAAAGTGATTAAATCATTTCACTCTTTTGAAACGCCATTTAGAGCTTACACTTTTGATCTTGATCATTTGGTCAAAAGGTTTGTAACGCGTGCTTCCATACGTATGAACATAATTTACTTAGGAAAATAAATTATGTGCGTTTATGCCAATTGACTTATTATTTCTTATATATTTTTCAGTTCCACAAAACAGTTAAATTTACATCCGGGCTCAAACTATTTGGTGCGCTACACCTGTGCACAATTGTTCTATTTTTGTCTTACAAGTTTTAATCTGTAAAGTATACAAGTGACCTCATCGCGCTAGCCAACGCATGTATAAAGCACTGTTTTTCATTTTTGACAAGTTCATTTGAATTGTAACTGCGCACTGTTTATTCAAATAAATTAAAAATAAAGTTGCAGTGTGGTTTGTACGACGTTGTTTAAAATATAATCAATGCAACTAATGTAAATAACCACCTTCTCACAAAATTTGATTTTTTTTACTCTTTCTAGTAAGTTGGCATGATATAAAAACTATTACATGCGGCAAAAATCAGCTTTTTTTTTTTTGACCCTATTTGTAAAACGTTCAGAAATGAAGAGTTTTACTCTTTACATGGCTAAATCGAAATCAAATTATAAATTATATTCTTATTTAAAATAAGGCTTTTTTTAAAAAATATTTTTCTTTAACCAGGAAGTTGTTAGGTTCTTTTTGTGGGGTAGCTTTGTTTCTGTTGAAGTTAAACTTTTTATTTATTTTCCATTAAGAGACTATTAACAAAAGATACACAAACAAAAAAAAAAACAAATAAAATTTATTAAAATTCAAACTAATTAGTCTCAATAAATTCCCTCAACTGTTTGATTATTTGTTTAAATTTAGACTATTTGTCGAAAAATTGATTTATAAAATTAAAGTATTTTAATGGAGATAATAATAAAATTTTAATAATAAAACATTTTTGTTGCAAAATAAATCTTTAAAGGGCATCATTTCAGAAAAATGGAGTTTTGTTTCTGTTGAGTTAAATTGAAATTACTTTCTAGATATAAAATCTGCTGATTGATTTGACTTGTAAAAGAAATTGCGGAGCCTAGATTCAGTTAAACATAAATTCTTATCAAAGTTAAATTTGTTGAAGCTGCAAACCAAATCTATTCTTAAGTAGTAAGTATATATATATACTACTGTATTAGCAGAAAGATAAAAGTAAAGCTATAAAGATTTCCTGATTGTGCAGTGTTTAGAATAATAAAAAAGACAAGGAAAGATGTTGCAAGATCCGGTATACAAAAGAACCGGTATACAAAAGAATACCTTTGCTGATGTTACATGCTATTTGTATAAATTTTGCAATTTAAAAAAATGTCAATTCAAGAGTGGTGAAAACTTTTAAAAAAGATACTGCTTGCTGTACTAACCTATTCGTGTTAGTAAAGCGTGTGAACAAAATAAATGTAAAAGAGAAAATACATCATTTTTTTTGAGTGACTGTATTAATATATTTTTAACTATGTTTAAATTTTGTCGGTAACATGTAATGATCTCAAAAAAATGTTTTAGTTTTCCCATTAAATCTAAGAAAAATTTTAAAAAGACAAAAGAAGATGATGTTAGAAAAAATATTGTGCACAAATATTTGGAAAATGCGAATAGAAGCTACAATTCAATAAAAAAAAGTTGCGAATACATCTCTACACTGTTAATCATGTTATTTATTGTTTTAGCCAAGCAAAATTGATAAAACACAAATCTGGTAACGGAACTAAGGAAGTTTTTCTAGATATAAAACTAGTTAGAAAATTAATTATAAAAAACCCAAGCCTCTAACTAAGGGAGGACGCAAAAAGATAAGTACTTTCTCGTAGTTTTGTTGTAAAAGTTAAAAATAAACATGTTTTTTCAAGCTTTCAAATCACAAAAAGTGCATAACCGTTCTGAAATTCAAATCACAAAAAGCGCATAAACGTTCTCAAATTAAAAAAAATGTGTAAGAGCCCGCTGAAGAAAGTTGCATGACAAATTTACGTTTTTAAAATTTCTGAATTATAGAAGATGATGGTATCTATATGAAGTACGATCACCAGCAAATTTCTGGTGGTGTCTATTTTAATGCCAAATATAGAGGAAAAGCAGATAAGATATTTATATACACAAAACATGACAAGTTTGCTAAAAAAGCTTTGATTTAGTTGAAGCTTTGATTGCTGTTCTGCAGCCGTATTCTCATCTCTCCGTTAAGCTTAACGGAGCTTTTGTCTGAAATTTCATTACAATATATCTAAGTAAAGAAATGACGAAAATCTTATTTAAAGAACTTTTTTATTAATATCTTTAAAAATAAATTTTTTACTAACGCTCCGTTAAGCTTAACGGAGAGATGAGAATACGGCCCCTGTACGCTAGCTTATATGTACCACCAAAACGTTTGAAATTTTATTAGATGTCTACAGGAAAAAGTTAATTTCTTTAAAATACTTTATCTTCTTATAAAAATGTATTAAAATTAATACTTAGTTCTAAATTAAAGTTGATGAGTACCTTTTTTAAGTTGTTTTTCTACTTTCACCCTTATTTCGTGTACTCGCTTTAAATGAGGTGAGGGTTGTCGAGAAATTAAGTTTATTGTAAGCCTGTTGTACGTGTTGATGTAAATAAAGGAGAGGGATCTCTAACTATTTTTATTACCGTGTTTGACCCATCATTATTAGATTTTTAACCAGGGAACTAGAAGTATATTGGGATCAACAAGACTATCATATCAGTTTATATCATATAATATCATATAAAATTAAAATATACGAAGAGAAACGTTCGAGAGGAACGATCACAATTGAATACACTTTTTATAATCCTCCAACTCAAAATAACTCAAGCGTCCTTAAAATCGTCAACGTCATCTTTGGATTATCTGTAAACGCCTTTTTTGTTTTTTTTTACCTGATCTTGACTTAAGATTTTGATTCATGTCATGAACATTGCTAAAGATTATTTTTTTTACAACGTTTACATTTTGTATATAATGCTGCAATAAATTTACAATAAAATAAATTTGAATAGCTTCAATGTTGATAAGTTGAGTTGCGGTTAAAATTTAATTTTTTTAAAAGTTTCTTGGTAAATTATTTTGCTTTAAGAATTCAGAAAGAAAAAAAAAAATTTTGGTAAGAAATCTTCTGTGGGTGAGATTTGTAAATAAAAGTCACTACGCAGAAGCCAACGCAAAAATTATCAACTTAACTCTTTCTC